TAACATAAATTAATAATATCAATATATTTATTTTATTTTGTTTTTATTGGATATTTAAACTAACAAAATATGTTTAATAATTGTAATTTCAAGATATTCTAATAATAAATTGTATTAAATTTTGATTTTCGTTGAATCCTTAAAATCGTTTATTAACCTGATCAACTCGACATAAAATAATTTTACCCGAAATAACCCGATGTCTAATCGAGTTGTAAAATTTTCAAACTGTAGGTATTAAGTTGATATTTGGGGAACTCAACCCAACCCGCCTGATATTCATTTATTTTATTGGATTTAATATGATTGTTGAATTTTTTATTAATATATATATTAAACAATTGCATTATCACGTACGCTTTTCATATACACGTATTTTGAATCTATTCACATCTCTATATAATTCATTCGTATATATGTTTAGTAACTATGAACATATACATGTAAATTGAGAAAGTTAACTGAATGTGATATGCGTAAGAAGTATGGATAAATTGTATCAAATGGTTGATGATAAAAAAAATATGAGTAGAGAAATAACATATTTAGGGTTATAAGAATATTTTAATGTACCAAAGTTTCAACTCGACCAATCCGACTAACCCGACCAATCCGTACAGTTTGTGTTGGATTGGTTGCATTTTCGTTTGTGTTGAGTTGGATTAAGATTTTTCAAACCGTAAGCATTAAGTTAAATTGTTTAAATATCTTCAACTCGATCAATTCAACCCATGAACACCCCTAATTGTATGCATGTAGCTTAACTAGTTACCAAGTAACTATAACTAAAACAAGGGTGACTCTAAATCAACTTTCTCTAGTTTACTATATATTTTAAAACATAGGTAAAATATTTAAAACTTTTCAATTCCAAGAATTCAACATTTATGAACTATTAAATATTAGAAGAGTATATGTGCAATGCAGCAAGATATATCTTGATTTTAATGTTTTATTTTTTCTGTCGATATAATATGATTTTTGGAAAACGATAATATTTTTATTTTTTAATAAAATATAAATTTAAAAAAAAGTATCAATGTTAATATTAGATTAATTATTTAATAAAATAATTAAATAAATATTTTACCTACAAACTTCGTCTACATTTTTGTTGACCAGAGGGCCTTTGGTTGGCCTTGCTTTTGGATTGGCCTTGATTTTAGTTGGGGAGTCCAGATGGGCTTTGGTTCTTAAGGACTAGATGAGCTTTGGTTGGTATTGCTTTGTATGATGCAAGCTTTACTGTGGTATATTTTTCAAAAATATTGGGTATTTAAATAACTCTGAGCTCAAGATCTTTAGACTTCGTTTTCAGATTTAGACTTGTCTTGTAAACACATTTCAAATCTCTGAAGACAAGTCTGCATATTTAGACTTCCATACTTAGCCCACGTTTCAATCAGTCCCACTAATTTAGGATGCAACTGATTTTATTTTTGGGTTAATTAGTTCGTGTGGTAACTGATGAGCTGAGGAACCTTTACATAGACGGGTTAAGTAAGAGACCTAGAGGCTCTGCATGTACTATCAATAGGCTCTGTGTCTGGGAGTTTATGTATCCGAGTACTTGACTATTTGTGTGCAAGACTTCGGTCTTCATGCCCTCTATGTCCGAGCTCTTGGTTCCAGGCAACTTCAAGGCTAGGTCCTCTTGGACTAAATCATCTTCAGACTTCATCTTCATTTTTGTTGACCAGAGGGCCTTTGGTTGGCCTTACTTTTTGGTTGGTGAGTCCAAAGGGGCTCTGATCCTTAAGGATCAGAGAAACTCTTATTGGTCTTGTAATGTATGATGCAAGATTTACGATGGGGTATTTTAGATCTCTGAAGACAAATCTACAAATTTAGACTTGTAAACACGTTATTTTAGTTTGTAGATCTCGCTGCATTGCAGCGGGTATTTTACTAGTGTGTGTGTGTGTGTGTATATATATATATACTATCTTATAAAACATATTTAACAAAGTCTTAAAAATAACTCAAAATACATAAGGTACTACTTTCTTATGCACAAAGTCTTAAAATCTCTTAATTACGATTTTACAAGGCTCATGTACAACTTCTCAACTCTCCAATGTGATATGATTCTCTAAGCGACTATTCTCAAATCCATCTGGAAGTTTGACGATCGATGCACCAAATGCGATATGATTTGTTATTCAAAGCCATCTTCCCAATATATACGGTTAGGGTTTATCTGAGGTAAGTTTTTATCTCCATCTTCTCCATCGCTCTTCTCAGATAAGTTTTTATCGATTTCTTTTACTACTTTGGTTATGTTTCTTATATGACAAGATGTTCTTGTTGCAAGTAGTTTTTGGTTTACTAGCCATAGGTGATTTTCTATAAGCTTTTTGAATCCAATTTTTGTTGAACCTGTTCAAACGCCATAATGATTTTGCTTGTTAAGAGCTGAAGTTATGGAGAAAACTTATATCAGGAATGGAGAATATTAAACCTCCATTAAGAAGGATTGCAGGGGACATTAGAGGTAGAGCATTGTATTCCGTCCGGAATTGGGTAAATTTTTTCATGTAACTGATTCGAGTACATTTCTTAATCCTATTATTCCATTAAAAGTTGGGAGCTGTGTTTTTAGCAGTAGATAGTACCTTTCTTATATAGTTTTTAATGAGATTTTAGGATATTAGCTCCAATGACTTGAATCTTCTTTGCATCTGTACTTCGTGTCATTGCTTTTGGGGAGTAGCTTAGCATAGATACACATAATTCCTAAACCATGTAAATACACATATGTTTTTGCATACCATCAAGAGAATCCTTTATAGTTTGCATTATGAGTTACTTTAACACGGTCTCTTCCCCTTATGTAGCAGTTTAAAACGAGAACGAGAGTTTGTATAATGGTAACTAAGGGGCTGTTTGGTTGTTTTTAATTGAACCTTGTATGAATTAAGTTCTTTGTATGACTTTTGAACTAAACACTTACCAGATAAGCATTTAGTAAATGACCCCTATGTAGATGCTATGCCTAAAGTTTGTTTTTTTTCCTTTGTTGTTCAAAACTTATATTAACATTTCTATTCAGATACAAAAACCTCAAAAAGTAACTTGTATTTTGCATCTCTTCCTCAAGGATAATTGAACATTTTATATTGAGATATGACTGTTCTTTACAACCAAAATTCATTTGGGTTGATCATGCATCATTCAAGTGTCAATGTAATTACTTCTGATCATGCTTCATATTAGTCTCTGGATTCTTTAGTAGGTCGATCACTTGGATTTGGAAATTTGGAAGTTCTGAATTATAGTTCTTCAATGGGTTACATCATGTGTTACATTGCCAAAATAGTTTCTATATGTAACCAACGACCATGGTAGTTAGAAGATAAGGCATTCGATGATATGCCATAAAGAAAATGTCATCTGTGGGGCTGTAAGAAGTGTAAACAAATCATATGATATCAAAAACCACTCAACACCAGATATTGTAGAATGGACAGCTCAATCGGTTGATTTTATGCAGGAAAAGTCATTTTGGAAGCTTTTTTTTTTACGGATATGGTGGTTGTGAGTCTCAATTTGTTCATATTTTAGGCGGCAAAGAGAGGTTACGACTTGAATTTCTTGGGGGCCTTTCTGTTCGGTGTGGTTATGGTGCTTGTTTGTCTTTTCTTTCATCTAGGTTTGTTGTTTGTCGTTGAAGTGATCTCATTCACATCCCTTTCAAGCGGCAAAATGCCATCAAATTCTATTTAGTATAACAAATAATTTTTTCTCGATCGATGTAAGAAAGTTTCAATATTTTTTATTAACATTTTGACTGGTAACATGTTGATCTTGTAACATTTGGTGATGTAGATACCCATTTACTAAAGGGTAAAGATGAAATGGACGATAAGCTAGACATCCACGTCATCAAGTGTTATAAGATCAGTAGAGTACCAATTAAAATGGTTAAAGAATAAGAAAGTTTACAACTTTATTACATTAAATAAAAAATTCTGAAAATATATTTCAGTGATTAAGAAAAAAAAATTATTTCTTATACTAATGAGCCGTTTACCTAAACGTTTTCCTGGTAAGCGCTTAGTCAGTAAGCGTTTGCTGGTAAAAGTCAACACTCTCACTTACTTTAACGGGTAAGTTTCGAACCCATTAAAACGACATCGTATGCAACTATCAAGATGGAGACATAACTTAACATGAGTATTAGTGTTCATTTGTTCAATCGGTTAAGTTAATGAAGGAACATGAATAAGCTTCTTTTTGTGTTCGTTTTATTCAGTTCGTTTACAACCTTAATTACGACATCTTGAAAAAGAAATAGATTTTAAGATCGAATGAATCAACCTAAAACATTTACATTCGCAGCATTGTGCGAGTATATAACTAGAGTTTAAATGCAACTCATCACATTTGTACAACCAATGCAATCCAATCAATTGAGATATTTATGGAAATGATGAGAGTTCGTTTATTATGATTTGAATATTTATGAAAGATGTCTAAAGTTCATTAATTATGATCAATATTTTATATTAGGATACAACCAAAACTTTTATGAAATTACATATTCATCAAATTAAATGGACGATTGAGTTGTATTGGTTGTACAAATGTAAATGGTTACATAATAACTCATC